ATGATGCGTTTTTCAATTTTAAAAGAAAATGATTAATCAGCTCTCTAATATTTTGCTATAATGTTTTAAAAGCAATTCAGTAAAATTCCTGGGAGAGAAAGGAAAAAAGATAGGAATGAACAGCGATTTTGTTGACTGTATATATTTTAGTCTATCCAAAAGATCAATCAGAATATGGAAGTATTTTATTTTTTAAATAATAATGTGTTTTTCGGAAAATATTATTAATTTTTTTAGTTTCCGGAAATTGTATTTTTCCAGAATTTGTTAGTTATCTTCTATATTCTGATATTTGTATTTTGTAAATTCTGAAATTTGTATTTTTCCGTAAATTCTGAAATTTGTATTTTCTGTTAATTCTGATATCTGTATTTTGTAAATTCTGACTTGTATTTTTCCGTAAATTCTGAAATTTGTATTTTCTTTAATTCTGATATTTGTGTTTTTCTGTTAATTTTGAAATTTGTATTTTCTGTTAATTCTGATATTTGTGTTTTTCTGAGAATTCTGAAATTTGTGTTTTTCTGTTAATTCTGAAATTTGTATTTTCTGTTAATTCTGAAATTTGTATTTTCTGTTAATTCTGAAACTTGTTTTTTTTGAATATTCTGATATTTTGTATTTTTCTAATAATTCTGATATTTGTATTTTTTAATATTCTGAACTTTTGTGTTTTCCGTAAATTCGGAAATTTTGTATTTTCCTTAAATTCTGATATCTTATTTTTGTTTTATTTTTTTCCGGAGAATAAACAATTTCCGGAAAACAAATTCATATCATTTAAATGTTGATCTTCTGAACCTAATTTATCTTTAATATATTAAAATATGCGTTCTCGTTCGCAATGAGTCATAGTAAAAAATTGTCGATGATGAAAGTCTTATAGGGTGAGTGTGTAATAAAAAAATGTGTTTAAAGGCCAAAAAAAGCAAACACATAAATATATTCACAATAAATAAATTCACAAACATTCAAGACAAGACGAGAAAAAAAAATTTTTTCCTTCCTTCAAATTCAATATATATTTTATTCATATCTTCCACCCATTTTTCTCCCTTTTTCTTCAAAAAGCACACACATTCTTGGAGGTCTTCATCATCAGCATTAAAATAAAAAAAATAAAATTTTTTTTCTCGTCTTATCATTAAAAGCAATCCGTCTTTAAAAAAAATTTTTTTTAATTCTCCTTCTTATTTCCCTCCTTACTTTTTTTTTAAAAATATATTCCGGATCGTTTTTCTGATTATTTCTCATAAATTTCTTATAAATTTATTTTTATTTTATTTTTTTATTTTATTAATACTCTGAAAATCCGGACACTTTTTTTCTAATTAATTCTTCCTTCATTTTCCTCCCACATTTTTTTATCCACCAAAAAAAAATTTTTTTTCTTTTTTTTTCTCAACTTTTTTTTGTCTTAAAAAATATATTTATTATATCCTCCTCCATCCCTCATCTCACAACTGTTTCTTTTTCATCTTCCCCTGTCTTTTCTTTTTCCTTTTTCCTTGTATTTATTGTCTTTATCAAATCCACTTTTTTTTTAAAAATTTTTCCTCTTCTTCCACTTTTCTTTAAAAAAAATTCAGACAGATCTGTGAGCTAAAAAACGCCAAAAAGCTCTTGAATTATAATAAGAAAAGTATCTCTAAAAATAAAATTTTTAAAAAAAGCTATTAGGCAACAGCCGTCTTTTGAAAAAAGAAAAAATTTTAATAAGAAACCAATTGTTTTTTTTTTGTTTTTGGATGCTATTGTTGCGTGGATTTCTTGGGAGAGTGAGAGAAGGAAAGAATTGTTGAAAAAAAGGAAAAAATAAATAAATTTGTGTGTGTGTGTGGCAATTTTTGTCAAAAATCGTTCTACTACTAGTATGTATAACAAAAGAAAAAAATGAATGAATGAAATTTACGTGTTGAAAATCTTGTAAGTAGTAGTGCTGGTGGTTGGTGGTGATATTGTTGTTTTTGTGTGCTTGAAGAAAAAAGAAAAAAATTTTTGTTTCTATAATTCAAGGTGTAAGGAGGATGTGCGCGCGCCAAAAGGAAAAAATTAATTCTTCGGAAAAATAAACAAAAATAGAATATCAGAATTTTCGGAAAATACAAAATTTCAGAATATTCAAAAACACAAATATCAGAATTCAAAAAAATACAAAATTTCAGAATATTCAAAAATACAACTATCAGAATTCTCAGAAAAACACAAATATCAGAATTTGCAAAAATACAAATATCAGAATTCAAAAAAATACATATAGCAGAATTAACAGAAAATAATAATTTCAGAATTTACGGAAAAATACAAATTTCAGAATTTACGGGAAAATACAAATGTCAGAATTAATTTTAAATTTTTGGAAAAAGTTTTTTTGTTTGCCGCACACTTGAAAAACAATCTCTTTTTGATTTTTTAAGCATTGTTCTTTTTTATTCTCCTAAATCTTTCTTCCTTATTTTTAAATTCATATATCTTCTCATATCTTCTTCCCCTTTATTATAAATAATTTTATACATTAATCTATCTCTCTCTATATATCTCCCCCGCTTTTTTCCTTCTTTCTTCACTTTTGATTGTTGCTTTGCTTTAGATTGTTGTACACTTTTTTAAAACTAAAAATATAGTAGAAAGGCTTGGAGAAGAATATATTGAGCTAACTGAGCTACTGAGAATTTGCGACATGTGTTGTTTAGTTAGTTTATTGTTTTTGTGTGTCTTGTATATTTTTACTTTTTGGTTCCGTGAAGTGGATGGAGAGAAAATAAAAGTGATTCGAAGAAAAGAGAAAATTTTAAAAAAAATTGTAGTAGAGAGGCTTGGAGGAACAAGAGATTTTTGTTGGTGAAGAGGCGCTTTTCTTCGAAACTCTTAAGTTGATATTTCTAGCTACATATCTCTGTCATTGTTTAGTTTTACTAGGAAAAAGGAAGGAAGATAAAAATTGTGGGTCAGATCATTGACAGCTGCTTAGATATATATTCTTGTAAAAAGAGACTATGAGCTGTACTAATAGTAAAAAAATGTTTTAAGCCTAAAGGATTGGAATTTTTAAGATTAAGCTTGTTGGTGGGGGGAAAGAGAGTATCGGGAGGACTTATGTTTGTGTGTGTGATTTAAGAAGAAAAAAATCAAAGAGAAATGTAGAGGAATGGGGAAAATAGGGGGGAAATACTGGGAAAATGAGCTAACCGGCTAACCGGATCATCACTTTCTTTCTGTCTTATTGCAAGATTTTAGTTGGCTTTAAGAAAAAAAGTTTTTTAAAGAGAAAGATAGGAGAGATAAAAGGAAAAGCTTGTGAGCTTGTGTTGTTTAAGAGAAAAAAATTCTTTCCCGCCTTTAAACACTAACTAAACAACTTACAAATCAACCAACTAACTTAACCGCCCTCTCATTTTCTCTTCTCTCACTACTATAAACTAAAATATCTTCTTCTTAATACTTGCTAAAAACATTAAAAAGAACAAATGTTGTGTTTGGTTTAGATCGCTTTTTATTTTACTTTTAATTTTATCCTCGTTTCTTTTTTGGCCAAACCCTCCCATCTCTCATCAGTATAAATATATAAATACAATTAGAAATAAGATTATTACTTTACCAAAAACTTTTATTTTATTGTTCTAAAATAATAATGAAATTGACCTAAAAATTATTCAACAATAATTAAAGCTTCAAGCATTAAAAAAAAATAATTTGGCTTTAAATGTTTTTAAATTATTCCCTTTTTTGGCTAAATGCTTTAATTAAAAGATTAAATGTCTCATTTAATTACCTTATAATTAGAGAAAAATAATTCGAACATTCCGGAAAAGAATAGAGTATTTTATTTGTCTCTTTTTCCGGAAAAATAGGGTTAGATGAATAAATGCCTCTCATAATTAGAGAAATATTTCCGGAAAGAAATAGTATTTTATTCCAATTCTATTAAGTATTTTCCGGATTAAAGAAACTAGACTAACCGTTTATTTAACACATAATTAGAGAAAAATAATATACACTTTCCGGAAAACAATAGAGTATTTTATTCTCTATTTTCCGGAAAAATAGGATTAAATGATTAAATGTCTCTCATAATTAGAGAAATATTTCAGGAAATTCCAATTCTATTAAACATTTTCCGGATTAAAGAAACTAGACTAACCGTTTATTTAACACATAATTAGAGAAAAATAATAATATACTTTCCGGAAATGAATAGAGAATTCAATTCAATTCCGGAAAGTATTTATGTATTTTCCGGATTAGAGAACAAAGCCAACATTCAAATTGGTTAAATTTTAGCATAAATTACCCCATTTTGGCGAAGTGTTTCCTTAAAAAATGTTCTAGAACAAACAATTAAAAATAGAGAAAAATAGTGTTAAAATAGCTTTTAGTTAGAGAAAAATACATTTTTTAATACAATTTCTCTCTTTCTTTTCTTTTGGTCACTTACTTTTTCTCTTATTGTTTATACAACAAAACTGCACTATTTTTACATTTTTTTGTAGTGTAATTTTATACTATTTAAGGGGAGCGATTTTTCTAGTTTTATCTTGTAATTCTATCAACACAACATAACTATCGACCATTTTTTCTTCCTACATTTTTGTTATTTATCGTCCCTTTTTTCGCTTGTTTTATTGTTTTTCATCACTTTTTTGGGGGTTTTAACCGTTCTAAACTCAACTTTTTTTGGTTTTTGGTTGTGGGGACGTTTTGGGGTTGAATTCCGTTGGGTGACTTGTGTTGGTTTCGGAAACTGAAAAAGTCAAACCGATCTTGACTATAAAAACCTCTTGTTACTTGATTTTTGAGATAGTGCCCTTTTTTGCTTCTTCCCAAGTACTTAATTTTCCGCTTTTTCTCCCATTCTGAAATTTTCCTTTTCTTCAATCTTTTCCTTTCGCGTTCATTTTTCAACTTGTGCTTTAAATTTTTAATATTTTTTTGTTTTTTTAGAGAAAACTCTTATTAAATATTTTTATTTTCTTCAAACCAACGATCAATAAACAATAAAGATGGACGAAGAGGTCGCCGCACTTGTTGTTGATAACGGCAGTGGAATGTGCAAGGTTAGTTAAAAATGCCACTTTTCGATTAAAAGTTTTGTTGTTTTTTCAAGGCTGGATTTGCTGGTGATGATGCTCCTCGTGCCGTATTTCCTTCAATTGTTGGACGCCCTCGACACCAGGGTGTCATGGTTGGAATGGGTCAAAAGGATTCGTATGTGGGAGATGAGGCTCAAAGCAAAAGAGGTATCTTGACTTTGAAATACCCGATTGAGCACGGCATTGTCACGAACTGGGACGACATGGAGAAGATCTGGCATCACACTTTCTACAACGAACTTCGTGTTGCTCCTGAAGAACATCCAGTGCTTTTAACTGAGGCTCCTCTCAACCCAAAGGCTAACCGTGAAAAGATGACTCAAATCATGTTTGAGACATTCAACACGCCTGCCATGTATGTTTAGAAGAAAAAAGATTTTTTTAATCAATCTTTTAATTCTTTTCTAGGTATGTTGCCATCCAAGCTGTTCTTTCTTTGTATGCTTCTGGACGTACTACTGGAATTGTTCTTGACTCTGGTGATGGTAAAAACAATTTAAACTTTTAAAAGCCTTTGAAAAATTTTATTTTTCTCTTCAGGTGTCACCCACACAGTTCCAATTTATGAAGGTTATGCTTTGCCTCACGCAATCTTGCGTCTTGACTTAGCGGGACGTGATTTGACCGACTACTTGATGAAGGTTTGTTGGACTCCTTTTTGAGGATAATTCTGAAAATTTGTTCATTTTAGATCCTCACTGAACGTGGTTATTCTTTCACCACAACCGCCGAACGTGAGATTGTACGTGACATTAAAGAGAAGCTTTGCTATGTTGCTTTGGACTTTGAGCAAGAGATGGCTACAGCTGCTTCGTCTTCTTCTTTGGAAAAGAGCTACGAATTGCCTGACGGTCAAGTCATTACTGTTGGAAACGAGCGCTTCCGTTGCCCAGAATCTCTCTTCCAGGTTTATTCTTAAGCTTTGACTTCTTCCCTCTTAAATAAAATTTTCAAATTTAGCCATCTTTCTTGGGTATGGAATCTGCTGGTATTCACGAGACCTCTTACAACTCAATCATGAAGTGCGACATTGACATCCGTAAAGGTATAGAAAATTGAATTTTTTGATAACTTGGCTTTGGTGCCCTTTGACTTGAAAAGCTTTCTTTTTTGGGCAAAAGTTGGGGACTGGTAATCATAAGGGGGTAAGACGGGTAAGGGGAGGGAAGCATTGGAAAAATTATTTTTTAATGAAGGCCTGGTTGAGTAACCCAGTGTCGGGTCCCAGGAAACAGGATCACTCCCTTAGTTAAGCCTCAATTCTCTTCAACAATCATTTTTAACCTTTTCTTTTTTTCCAGACCTTTACGCCAACACTGTCCTTTCTGGAGGTACAACCATGTATCCAGGCATTGCTGATCGTATGCAGAAGGAAATTACTGCTTTGGCACCATCAACAATGAAGATTAAGATTATTGCACCTCCTGAGCGTAAATACTCTGTTTGGATTGGAGGATCTATCCTTGCTTCATTGTCTACCTTCCAGCAAATGTAAGCTAGAGAGAATTTTTGAAAATTTTAAGAAAAATTTTTTTAATTTTCAAGGTGGATCAGCAAGCAAGAGTATGACGAATCTGGTCCATCTATTGTTCACCGTAAATGCTTCTAAGCGCAAAAGAGGAAAAGGAGGAAGAAAAAGAGGAAAAAATGGTTGGAAAACAAAAAAAGAGGGAAAATTTAATAATAAAAAAAGAAGAGAAGAGCAAGAAAGTATTTAAAAAAAAAATTAAAAAAATTTTCTCGATGACCCCCATCTCTCTATTATTTTTTTTCTAAAAAAATGTATCCCCCCAAATATGTCTCTCTCCTATTAAAAAAAAATTTTTTTTTGTTTGGATATATAATGTTTTCGAAGAGAAAAATGTTTAAAAAAATATCCATTTTTGAGAAATTTTTTGAATTTTTGAAATTTTCTTTGAAAAAAAAATTATTTTTCGAATTTTCGTCACTCTTCTAAATTTTTTTTAAATTTTTCTCTCTTGGCTTTAATAAAGAAAAAATTTTTAAAAAAGAAAAACAAAAAAGCCATTTTATATAATGTTTGTCTTTTATTTTTTGCCGTCACCTTTGGACTCGTTGGTTAAAAAAAGGAATAAAATAAAATTAAAAAAAAATAAATTGTTAATTTTGTTTGAGCTTTTAGTTATTTTTTTAAAGAGATAACAAGTAGAAATTTTTAAAATTTTATTTAGAGAAATCTGAGGCGTAAACTTGAGCTTTTTGATTATTTATAGGGTTTTTTCTTTTAATTGTCTTAAGAATTTAGTGAAAAGTTTTGAGACTGTTGAATGTAGCACGTGTGGCCGAGTGGTTTAGGGCGCAGGCAGAAGAGACAATTTTTTAAAAAATATGGTAAAAGTTCGATGCCTTTTGGTGGAAAATGAATTGAATAAAATTAAAAGAGGGGAGATTTTGGTTTTTTTTAATTTTTTAGATGATTTTACCGATTTAAAAATTTTTTTTTCAAGAATTAAAAAACTTTTTTATTTTGTTTAATACTCATCTTTGAACACTTTTAAAATGTCAAAGAAAAAATATTCAAAAATGCGCCTCTATTTAGAATTAATCCCCTCTTAATTTCTCTTGTTACTTACTTGAATATTTTCCATCCAAAAATGGATGTAGAAAAAAATAAAGGTAAGAAAAATGCTCCTTGCTTGCTACATTAATATTGCATTAATCCCCCCCTTTTATTTTTTGCAACTTTGTTAGACACAGTTTAACTGCAGTAAATAAATTTCTCTCTCTTCTTTTTAAATCTCTTCATTCTCTATAGTCTTTTTCTTTTCTCTAATTTTAATGGCTGACCTTTTGGTTGTATGTGTGTCTAACATTTAAAAATGTCTGACGTTTTATTTATTGATGTCTATCGTTGTGTTATTAAATGGCGTCTTCTACTAGAAGATTAAAAGACTATTAGAGTCTCATTTTTGTGGAGAGACAATTTTCTTTCCCTTATATTTTCATACTCTAATGGTCACTTTATTTAAGTAGGGGTGATTTTATGGGTAATTTTTCCTTTACGTTTTAATGTCTTTTTCTTTTTGAGGTTTTGCCGGCATTTCTTTTTTGTAGTTTTTTTTAATCTTATTTTTTTTTAATTATTTTTTTAGAGGTGTATACTACCAAAACTTTTTAGTATTTTTGGATTTTTGTCAAATTTTTTGGTTCAATTTGTTTATTAATCATCAGAAAATATTCACTTCTTTTTTGTCGTCATAATTGAATTAAATCAAAACAACAACATCAACAGTTCTTCTGCAAAACTTGCTGCTACCTCCTACTATTACGACGACGACGAGTCAACCGTCCCAGTTTTCGCCGATTTCTTTCAAGTATTTATTTATTTTTTATTTATGGAAGGGAAGGGGATGAGAAAAGTCAAAAATCTTTTCTATATTTGGGATTTACAGTCGGAGTTCGATAATACGTTACCCTGTTGGTAGGACCCTTTGCTTAATACGTCTCTCCACAAGTCAGTCCGTATTGATATGTTTTTAACAAGATTTGACCCTTGATAAGACGTCCCTTTCATTAAAACGTCACTGTTGATCAGTCTGATCTAGAAGGCGACATATTATCGAGCCTCGACTGTATATCCTTTTCTCCTGGTCAACCAAAATAAAATTTTATTTAAATCCTATTGATCGATATTTATTTACCTTAGAGTCTAAGAAGAATTTTGAGGAGTGTTTTTAGTGTTTTTCTGAAATTGATTGGACCCTTCGTTCCCTTTAGTTCTAAAATAGGAGGGCATAAGTTCGCCGGACCCTTTTTTTGATATACGCTTCATAGGTGAAAAGTAGAACGAAAGGTGTTCTGGCATGAACAACATAAATCGGGTCGGGATTAAGTAAGGTTAGAGTCGGTTAACTTGAATTGATCTACCCCCCCCCCCCCTTCCCTCTCCTCCGTTTCCTGTTCTCAACCCTGTTTACTTGGTAGATCCATCCCCTTAAGCTTTGACTCTTAATTTCGCTTTCTTATTGTATTGATCATTTCGAGGGGTTTTGCTTATTTTCTAAATTTTCTTTAAAGTTTGCCAAGCTGGATCCTCAACAGCATAGGCAGCCGCCTCAAGCTCCGCCACAAGGAGGCCAACAACAACAACAACAATATTCACAGCATCCATTTCAACAATTTATAAGCGGTTCACAACAACACCAACAACCTCAGCAACAACAAGTTTCGTCATATCAACACCAACAACACCAAACAATGCAAATTCCACAGCAACAACAACAGCAGCAGCAAATGACTTCTATTGATCAACAAGCAGTTTTGAGTATATTAGGTTCAATTTTTTGGGGTTTGGGGGTTTTATGCTTGATATGTGGAGGTCGTGGGTTCTACCCCGTTGGGGGGAATGATTTTTTTATATAATCAAAAAATGGTTATAATTCTTAGTTTTTGACCAATTACATTAATTTTCGATTTTTCTTTATTTTTTTTAAATAGAAAAATACTTGGTTCTTTGGTCATTGTTCGAATTTACTTGGGGGAATACTTCTTCCTATTATTTGGGGTCGTGGGTTCGACCCCGCTCGGGGGGAATGAATTTTTAAATAATTGAAAAATGATTATAATTCCAAATTTTTGGCCAATTATATTAATTTTCGGTTTTTCCTGATTTTTTAGCGATGTTTTATTGCTTCCTTTACCTATTATTTGGGGTCGTGATTTCGAACCCGCTCAGGAGAAATGAATTTTTAAATAATCGAAAATGATTTTGATTCCTATTTTAGATCAATTATATTAATTTTCGGCCTTTCCTTATTTTTATTATTTAATTTTAGAAGCCTTAACGGTTAATGAATCTGGTGGAATGCCGCCTACTTTTGTCCCACAAATGACAGGAATGATTGGTGGTGGACCTTTTGGTGGAGGTATTACTGGAGGTGTTTCTTCCCAATTTTCTTTGGGCTCACAATCAGTGCAGCAAGGTGCTCCACCATTTTCGCAGCAGCCACCTCAGGTTTTTTCTTTAATAAATTTTTGGAATTTTTGAAGTTTGTTGGGGTCCTTTTTTCTATTCCTCTCCCATTTTGTATCTTCGAGGAGCTTATGTTTGGTTTCCTTGTATAAAATCCGAAACCTGTCATAATTGTGGAGATTTAGCGTGGGTGCAACTGCATGTTATTAATGTGGAGTCTCTGTCACAAAGCTGGGTGGAGGCTCCTCTTGAGATTCTCACCCCAAAACTATTCTTTTTTTGATTGCCTTCTTGAAAAAAGTAAAATAAGGGAAGATAACAAGAGCAATAAAAAATGTGGCTCATAAAGTTCAAAAAGTTCTTAAACTAATTTTTTAAACTTTTATCATTTTTAGTACCCTGAATCTTCATTTTTCATGCCACCACACCTCTTATCCTCAGGAAGTCAGATGGTCCATGGTAGTGGGGGCATAAGTAGTGGTGGAGGAGGTTCTGCATTTACTAGTGCTACAACTCCAATGCTTTATGAACGTCAACCACAGCAGCCTCAGCAACAACAACAACCACAGCAACAACCATCCACAATATCTTCTCAACAAGGACAACAAATCGCATTGGCTGCTACAACAGAAATAAGTGGAGGAGGAATGCACCAACCACCTCCTGGACAACAACCACCAATAGGACAACAACAGCAACAACAAAGATCTTTAGTTCCAGTGCAGCATGTAAATACTTATAAATATTTCTTTTATATTTTTTTATCTTGGAAATTATTCTGGGAAGAATTAGGGGGCATTGGTTTTCCTGGGTTGGCCAAAAGTCGGGAAGCCTTGGCAAAATTTTTTTTTGTTATAATTAGAGTTGGCTCGATACCCTTGAGGATAACTTCGGGGAAAAAGGTTGTCAGTGAATGAACTTCCTGGGACTAACGTGTGGTAACCTGAAAGTCATTGTCGGATGAAGACAGTTCTCAACTCTTTAGTTATGAACGGAACTATGATGTCGGAACGACGATGTATGAGCTAATGTGGTTGAGAAAACATTTTGTCAATCATTGTGGTTGAAGATGTCATAAAAATTCATCGTTAGACAGGGAATGTGTATTTGTTTTTTTGGGACCTAACACATTTCTTTTTTGAGATTTTAAATACCTTGTTATGTTTAAAAAAGATTTTTTTTCTATTTTTAGGGTCAATTATCTTTACCTCCTTCAACAATACAATTTCAATGTCCACCACGTCCAAATCATGGAACTGAAGGACGTCCAATTCTTTTGCGTGCTAATCACTTCAAAGTTACTAATTCTGGTGGTTATGTCCATTTTTATGCTGTTGAAATTCAGTTTGTTTATTTTATATTTTTTAATTGGTTGGGGCTGGAGGTTGGGGATTTTTGAGACAAGGGCTCAAAGTAGATTGATTTACTATAACAGGGTCAGATTGTGGGACTCTGGGAAACTCTAGGAATTTATAAAGTCGTCTGATTTCACTCTAGACAAGGGAAAACCCCATGGGTTATAATTTTGACTCTGGGTAGAGGAGAAACCAAACCACATCCTGGACTCCCCCTCTTTATTTGGGGCTTTGGAAACGTCAATTTAACCTTAAGAGTAAAATTTCGATATTTGATTAACTATTCTTTTCTGTCTTGTTTATGTTAAATTTAAAAAAAATTTGGGAAGAGTGTCTTTATTGCTTTTTTTCATTTTCATGGTTTTAAATGCTCCTAAAATTACCCTTAATTTTGTGTTTTGATTACCCATCTTCTCTTATTAAAAAAATTTTTTTTTAAGACCAGACAAATGCCCACGTAAAGTCAACAGAGAAATTATAAATACAATGGTCGATTCATGTAAATTATTTAATAATTTCAAACCTGTATATGATGGAAAAAAGAATTTATATACAAAAGAAGCTTTGCCTTTTGGACAAGAAAGAGTTGAATTGGATGTTGTTATGCCTGGTGATTCTGCTGTTGATAGAAAATTTAGAGTTGCTTTAAAGGTTTTTTATTTAATATTTTTTTTCTGGCACTAGATGGTTAGTAAGGGTATTTTTTATGGGCATGTTCTTTCACGGTTATTTCGAGGTTTTCATGAATATTTTGCGTTATGGCCGTCATCTCCGTTTTCGCCAATATCCGTATTTTTATTCCAGATGTCATATCCGGGTATCTCCCATGCCTGATCGTCTTTGTCATTTTGATTAGTAAAGTCATGAATTTAAAAAACCGAGAGCAAAGCTCATTAAGAGGCTTTGGGGTGACTTTAGTCTTAAATAAAGACTTGAAAAAGTAGGAATGGCTCCACTAGCAGTCACAACTATTTTTTGTAAATGAAGGAATGTTTTGGACTCTTGATTTCCTCTGGTTTAATCCATAAATCTTTTTCTGAATCATTGGTTTTCGTTTTTTCCTTGACCTTTTTCCCATTCTAGTGTCTAATCATGTATTTTGCCTATCTAGTAAAGAGGGCCTAAAAATTTTCTTAAATATTGCTTTTTCAGTTAGTAAGCCGTGTTTCTTTACAAGCTTTGGAAGATGCGATGGCCGGCCGTATAAGACAAATCCCACCAGAATCGGTTCAAGCAATGGATGTCATTCTTCGACATCTTCCCAGCATGAAATATACTCCAGGTTTTCTTTTAAAAATTTTTTAGTGAAAAATTTTCAAAAAAATTTTTTAGTTGGTCGCTCATTTTTCTCTTCGCCTCCAGTAGCTTTAGGCGCTCAACATATCACCGTTTCTGGTGGTCCTGGAGGCGGTGGAGGTGGTGGAGGAGGAGGAGGAGGTCCTCAAGGTGTTGATAAACTTGGTGGACTTGGTGGTGGAAGAGAAGTTTGGTTTGGATTTCACCAAAGTGTACGACCAAGCCAGTGGAAAATGATGCTCAATATTGACGGTTTTTTTTTAATTTAAAGAATTTTTTGTTGGAAATGAGGGAGTGTGTATTTGTCAGGCTCACCCTTCCGAGAATTTTTTAATTCATTTTTATTTTTGTGGACAGTTTTGTTTTAAAAATACTGTTATATTTAGCTTATGGTTTGTCCTTAAGTTGGGGTTATTTTTAATTTTAGGTTGTGTTTTTATTATTTGCTTGACCAACTCGAACCCTGAGGTTTTTTTCTACACGAAACTCGATTTGAAAAAAAAAATAAAAAACCCGATCCGAAACTGGACTCAATTTTATTTTCTGACTAGCCCTTTGGATAAAGCTTAAAAATTGAACAAAAAGGCTTGTCTGACCTCTCTCTATTTTTCACATTTTTAAATTTTATTTTATTTTTTTTATATAAAAATTGATTATTTTTTCAAGTTTCTGCAACTGCCTTTTATCGTAAAATGCCTGTGATAAATTTTATGGCTGAAGTTTTGGAATTACCAATGCAGGCACTTAATGATAGAAGAAATTTATCTGATCCTCAACGTGTTAAATTTACAAAAGAAATAAGAGGACTCAAAATTGAAATTACTCATTGTGGACAAATGAGAAGAAAATATCGTGTTTGTAATGTTACTAGAAAACCAGCTCAATCACAAACGTTTGTTTTTTTAAAATTACTATTTTAGTAATTGGGTATAATCGTTCTGAAAAGTCTATACATATCCTCACTCTCAAATCCCAGAGTTTGAGAGTGAGTTTGTGTTGATCATCCGAAGCTTCGTCCGTTTTTAGTCCCGAGACTTGATCTGGAGGAAATTGTGAAACTTCAACCCTAAGATTCTTTCTCAACACGACCGATTCCTGTGTGACACTTTTCTGCTTCCTCCATTGCGAAATACCAAACTTTGGAAATTGGGGAAGGTAGTTTCTGGGTGCGTATAAAATGAAAGAATTTGTTCCAACAACGGAGAGGTGTTGTTCTAATAACGGGTAAAAATGGTTCCAACATTGAGGAAGGTTAAGTTCCCCATGTTTTAGTCGACCTCATTTTTGCTACTTTTAGTTGCTTAATTTTCTAAAAATTTTTTAATTAAAATATTATTTTTTTCTTTCCATTTAGATTTCCTTTATTACTTGAAAATGGTTTATCTATTGACTGTACTGTTCTCAAATATTTTAATGACAAATATCACATGCAATTAAAATATCCACACCTTCCCTGTTTACAAGTTGGCCAAGAACAAAAACATACTTATTTACCTTTGGAAGTTTGTGAAATTGTTTCTGGACAACGTTGTATTAAAAAATTGTCTGATACTCAAACGTCTACAATGATTAAGGTTTGGGTATTTGTGTTTGTGTGTGTTTTTGTTTTAAGTCAGAATTTGTATTTTTTTAAGAAAATCAGAATTTTTTTGTATTTTTCGTGTTTTTGTTGATCAGAATTTTTTATTGTTAGTGTTTCTGTTTATCAGAATTTTTTGTGTTTTTTTAAAGGATTAGTATTTTTGTCATAATTAAAAACCAGAATTCTGTGTTTTCTTTTATAATATTTGTGTTCTTACCAGAATAATTAAGGCAGAATTTGTATTTTTTTAAAAAGAAAATCAGAATTATTTTGTATTTTTTTATATTTTTCTACCAATTAATTTTCAATTGGTAGAAGAATGTGTTGTTGTTAAATCAGAATTTTGTGTGTTCTTTTTAGTATTTGTATTTTTTATCAGAATTTAAAATCAGAATTTTGTATTTTTTAAAAAGAAAATCAGAATTTTTCTACCAATTAATTTTTAATTGGTAGAAGAATGTGTTTTTGTTAAATCAGAATTTTTTATGTTTTCTTTTTAGGATTAGTATTTTTATCAGAATTAAAAATCAGAATTCTGTATTTTTTAATAAAACATCAAATCAGAATTTTTATGTGTTTTATTTCTCGGATTTGTATTTTTATCAGAATTTAAAATCAGAATTTTGTATTTTTCAGTACAACATTAAGTCAGAATTTTAAGTATATTCCAAAATCAAATCAGAATATTTTTGTGTTTTTGAATCAGAATTATTTTTCTTTTATAATATTTGTATTTTTATTTCTATGCTGTATTTTTGTCTCTTCATTTTTATTTTTCTAAAATTAATTCTGTTATATTTATAAATTAATTTTTATATTTTTTCAGGTCACAGCACGTAATGCTCCAGATAGAGAAAAGGAAATTTCTGCACTTGTTAGACGTGCTGAAATTGTTCATGATCCTTTTGCTCAGGAATTTGGAATTTCAATTAATTTTGTAAGAAATTTTTTTGAAATTTTCAAAAAAATTTTCTAATGGTTTTCTAGACTATGACAGAAGTTAAAGGACGTGTTTTAAATGCCCCAAAACTTTTGTATGGAGGAAGAACAAAAGCTACAGCATTACCAAATCAAGGAGTTTGGGATATGCGAGGAAAACAATTTCATACAGGTATTGAAGTTAAGACTTGGGCAATTGCTTGTTTTGCACAACAAAATCATGTTAAAGAAAATGATCTCAGGTTTCTTAAATAATTTTGTGATAAATTTGGGGAATCTGGTTTGTAAACTTATAATATTTTTGAGAAAATAGATCTGGGGTAGCTTATATGTCCAATAAAGCTGTACGAATTCAGTGAAAAATTATGTTGAACTCATAAACTATAGCCAGCTTTGAATCCTGGACTTTTTTCTTACAAAATCAGACCCGATTTTTTCCTCTCCCAGCCCATTTCTAATTCATATTTGGCTTGTGTGAATTGACTAAATGTTCGTTATTTTGACTAATAAGCTGACAGTTTATTTACTGGAGCATGTCCTGGACCAGAACAAATTCTTTTGAATTTATAAAAAATTTTTTTCATATTTTTCAGAAATTTCACTGGCCATTTACAAAAAATTTCCGCAGATGCAGGAATGCCAATTCAAGGTCAACCCTGTTTTTGCAAATATGCTGTAGGTGTTGATCAAGTTGAACCAATGTTTAAATACTTGAAACAAAATTTTCCTGGATTACAATTAGTTTGTGTTGTACTTCCTGGCAAAACTCCTGTTTATGGTTTTTTACTTGAAAATTAATAAAATTTTTTTTTCTTTTCAGCTGAAGTTAAACGTGTTGGAGACACAGTTTTGGGTATAGCTACACAATGTGTTCAAGCAAAAAATGTTACAAAAACAACTCCACAAACTCTTTCAAATTTATGCCTAAAAATGAATGTTAAACTTGGTGGTGTTAACAGGTATTCTTTAAACTTTAAAAAAATTTTTTTAATTTTGTTGGCTTGGTTCCCCAACGATTTTTAATTTTTCGAAACCTAAAACTAGATCCAAAAATATTTTCTGAAATAGTGAGTGGGTCCGTTTGAACTCCGCTCACAGAGACGAATTAAATGACATGTCTCTCGATTAAAATTTTTGTCACCAGTATATTCACTACGGGACACGCCCAAGTAGGCGCGCGGCTATAACGGCGCAAAGCCAAAACTCGCTTGAGTATTTCTGCCTTTATCAATTTTGGTACCAATCTCTTTAGCTCGATGAGATTCATTCACTACTTGCCAAAAATCCTTTCAAATATTTTTTTCATTTTTAAAGTATTTTACTTCCTGCCGTCCGTCCACGTATCTTTAATGAACCAATAATATTTCTTGGTGCTGACATAACACATCCACCTGCAGGGGATTCTCGTAAGCCTTCAATTGCTGGTGTTGTTGGAAGTATGGATGCACATCCTTCACGTTATGCTGCAACAGTTAGAGTACAACAACATAGACATGTTTGTTGGATTTTTAAAAAGATTTTTAAAAAGTTTTTAAAGGAAATAATTTCTGAACTTACATTTATGGTTAGAGAACTGTTAATTCAATTTTATCGAAATACCCGGTTTAAACCTACCAGAATTATTGTTTATCGTGATGGTGTTAGTGAAGGACAATTTCTTAATGTTTGTTTATTTTTTTCTATCTTACAGGGTATCTAGTCTTATTTTTTATTGGGAACTTCTATGGATGTTATTCAGGCTGTAAGAATTGTTTTGAAAATCGTTTTTGGCCCCTTTTTTAGTCAAATTGTTTTTAACCCCCAACTTCATTTGAGTTCTATTTGCGTGGTGATCGTAGTTCCTGGCAATAACTCCCAGTAAGTCGTAGGATCGTTGCTGCCTTTTAGGGATAATTTTTACCTTTTTTACTGGTTAAAGAGTGATTCAAAACCACGGATTGTTTTTTCCCCTAAAATTGAGACTTAAAAAAATTATTTTTAAGGTTCTTCAAAGCGAACTTCGTTCAATGCGTGAAGCTTGTATGATGCTTGAAAGAGGATACCAACCAGGAATAACATTTATTGCTTTACAAAAGCGACATCATACGAGGTTTATTTTTTAATTATGGAAAATAAAAAATAAATTTTTTTAAAGACTTTTTGCTGTTGATAAAAAAGATCAAGTCGGCAAAGCTTTCAATATCCCTCCTGGTACAACTGTGGATGTTGGTATTACACATCCAACAGAATTTGATTTTTATTTGTGTTCTCATGCTGGAATTCAGGTTTTATTTCTTAAAATTAGAAGGACTTTGCGTTGGGTGTTTTTTATAATTTTAAAGAATTTTTCTCCTTCGGTTTCCCTCTGTTTCCTTCAATTTTCTCGTGGGATTTTTGAAATTTCCTCTTTAATTTGTTTTTTGAGTCGGATTTTTATTTGTTTTGATTAATAAATATGTTTTTTATATTGACAGGCAGTTTAATTGTTTTTTAGCTAAGATTAAAAATAATTTCCACTATGGGGTTCGAACCATGGTGCTATACTACTAAGAACCTAACACTTTCCCACTACACCAAAAAAATTTTATTTTCAAAGTTTTTCCCCTTCTCTCTTTTTTAAATAGAAATTTATTCTTCACAATCAGAAAAAAATTTTTATAAAGTTTTTTTTTATTTTCCTTAAAGGGAACTTCACGTCCTTCACATTATCATGTTCTTTGGGATGACAATAACCTTTCTGCGGATGAACTTCAACAACTTACTTACCAACTTTGCCATACTTATGTTCGCTGTACGCGATCAGTTTCTGTACCGGCGCCTGCTTATTATGCTCATTTGGTTGCTTTTAGAGCTCGTTATCATTTGGTTGATAGAGAACATGACAGGTTTTTTTTATTTGTTAAAAATTTGATTCATTTAAATAGAAAGAAAATAGATTTGGGGGAGGAATAAGATTACTTAGGGGAGTTTTCTCTAAATCCTCAAACCTTGATTTTATTAAGGTTTTGTTTTTAGAATTTTGAGTTATTGTTCGAATCCATTTTTTATTATTTCTCATCATTTCTGAGTTTTTTCGTCTCGATTCTTTTAAGCTCTTGTGTTATTTTTTGAGATTTTTTTTAAATTTATTTTAACTTGAATGAATCTAGTCTATGAATTTTTTTTAATTTGATTTTGTGATTTTTCGGCGTTAGAGTTGAGATTTTCTTTAATATTTTGTTTATCTAAAAATTTAAACAAATCTTTTTTTCTAGCGGTGAAGGAAGTCAACCTTCTGGAACTAGTGAAGATACAACTTTGAGTAATATGGCTAGAGCTGTACAGGTTCATCCTGATGCTAATTCGGTTTTCTTTTTAATTTTTGAAAAATTTTTAAACTTTTTTCTTCTTTGAAAAGGTGATGTACTTTGCGTGACATTCAAAAATTTTGTCAAAAATTTTAAGAGATGAAAATGGTTTTTTTGACAGACATTCTCTCTCAATATGGACAACAGCAACCTTCAGTTTGTTTTTTTTGAGGAAAGTATTTTTTATATAAGTAAAAATTTATTTTTTTTTCTTCAATCTTCTTCTTACTTAATCTATTTTTCTCTCTCTCTAGTCGAGTGGATTTTCTTCTTTCCTTCTCTATTTTTTTTTTAAATTTTTCAATTTTTTAAAGTTCTCTCCAATTTTTAAATAAGTATGTATTTTCGTTCTTTCAATTTATTTTTTTTTAGTTTTTAATTTTACAAAAATAAAATGAATAATTTTTCTTTTTCTGCTATTTTTTTCACTTTTTTAAAAAATATTTTTTTTTAAAATAAGGATATATGATTATAAATATTTTTGCCATTTTTCTATTTTTCAATATATTTCAGTCTTTTATGGTCATTTAAATATATTTTTTTTGTTTGGTTGTTCTCTGGATTCTCATATATTATTTTAAAAATGTTTTTTTTATCTTTCATTTTATTCAATTATTAAAAGAAAAAATTTTTTTTAATGAATCAAGTACTTGTTTTAGAAAAATAATAATTTAAAACAATCTCGGGTTTTTTACACTCGTGGGGATAATTTGTCTCCCGTTCTGATCTTTAATATTAAAATTAGTTGGAAACCAAATTGGGGAACCGAAGATTTTGGATTTGATATTGAATTAACACAAAAAGATTTTCTCAAAAAGAAACCCTCAACAAAATATTTTAACAAATATATTAAAAATTTATTAAGATGATTTTTAACTTTTCTTTTCCTTTCTTTGATGGTATTTCTTAATTGGTGGGGGGAGGGGGTATTTCCCAAGTACTTGATTAGAAAAAAAAATTTTTTTTTCATTGATCTTGTCTTGATACATATTTTTTTCAAAATAAAATTTAAAAAATTAAATAATAATTGTGGTTAAAAAAATAAGCTCTCTATCACATACACACATACACTTCTTGCTTAATATAGAGTTTTTTTTTGTTGTTCGTAAGGGTAGGGAGAGATGTTAAATTAAGAATAGAATATAAGGGAAGTCAAGGAGGTCCTGAATGGTACCAAAAAAAATTTCAACTTCCTTGTCAGTTTTACATATAATTGTTTTTTTATCCAAATAAAGGTGTATATACGTACACTTGAAATTCGAAAAAAAAATTTTTTTTAACATACATACTGTGTTGGAGGTAATGATTAAAGAGATCTCTCTCTCTCTTTTTAACTACTATTCTTATTTTAAGCTCTCTCCTCCTTCTTTTTATTTTTTTAAATTTTTTTATCTCCTACCTAATTTTTGTTTATAAACTGCCCTCTTTTTACATATAAATTTACAAAAAAAAAATAAGCACATACATAAAACTTTAACAAATAATTTTTAAAAAATAATAAATAAACGAAATATATACGTCCATTTTCTAAAACCTATTAAAAAAATAATTAATTCATATAAGCTTTTGTTGATATCTTTTTTAATCATTTTCTCTTCAGAAAAAAATTTTCTTTCTAACCTCTTGCTATAATCATTATAAATTTAATTAATCAAATTAAATCTCCAGCCATTTTTATATTTAAAAAAAATAATTTGATATATTACGTATTTAATTGTTGCAGTTTTTTAAAGTCTTATATGATATCTATATACTATTTTTTTAAAAATCATCTGCTTGAATTTTTTTTTTAATTTTATTAAAAAAAAAAGAATTTTTTCATATATTGTTACACATTAGAATCTAATTTTAAACTAAAGTTCAAGCAGTTCAAAAAAAATTAGAAAACAATAATTGAACTGCTCGAAAATGTCAGAATTTCAAACTAAAGTTCAAGCAATGCAAAAAAAAATTCAAGCTAGTTCAAGCAGCCATTTCAAGTAGTTTCTCAAACTTCGGTTCTAATTAACCCTTAAATTTTAAAAATTCCTTTTGTTTTTAAACTATGATGATTTTCTGGACAGCAACTTAAAATAATTTTTTTCGTTACTTAAAACCGAGGTCCAAACTGATTGTTTTTTTTTAAATATTTTACAGCATTTTTATTGACAATAATACAATAATATTTTCACAGCCAATATATATCAATTAATTAATTTTTTTTCTAAAAAAACTCTGGAAGAAGCACAAAATCTTCAAAAGAAAATTTTCAATAAGAATTATTAACCAAGAAAAAAACAAAATTTCACACACAATTTATTGTATGGCTCTAAAATATATCAAAAATTACAATGTTTATGTGTTTGTTGTGCAAAAAAATTTAATTGTCGGTAGCTTTTTTAATTTTTTTAAATTAAAATATAATTTTTTGTTCGTTAAAAAATTATTTTTCGTGAGAAAATAAATTTTTTTTTAATTTTGGGGAAGAAAAAAAAATAGAAAAAAAAATTAAATTTTGAATTATTAAAGGAATTTTTTGGATTAATAAAAAAATAACAAAAATGATAAGAATGATTTTTTAAAAAAATTTTATTTTTATTAAAAAGTGCAAGCATATAAAATAACATTAATGGAATTTTAATATATTTTTTAGGACAATTGAACTCTTTTTGAAAATCCAAAAAACAATTTTTTAAATATTTTTAATACAGTGTGTTAAGAAATTATAACCCCCTTTGAATTTTTTGAGTTTCTTACCTTCCCGATGTCGGATTGTTCTGAAATTTCTGTAGTAGTGTTGTAATGTATATTAAATAATATTTACAAAATATCTTTAAAAATTTCTGATCTCAGACTTTTTTTTGGACGTTTTTCCAAAAAATCAGTGTTAATAAATTATAACCCCCCTTTAAAAAAATTTTTTTAACGCATGGAATATCTCTACAAAAAATTTTTCTGAACATATCTACCAATATAGATAAGAAATACAAAAGAAATGAAGTTCTTATGTATTCCCATCATCGAGATCTCGAAATCCGAAAATCAACGGAAAACCGGGGTAGACGTTTTTAAAAAATATTTTCGACCCCTTACAGGTGAAATAAAAATTTTATTTTGGGCTTATCTGAAAGCCCTTTAAATTTGCTACAAGATAGCATTCATTTTATTTTCAGAAAAAAATTCGCCTATAAGAAACTATGAGTTTAAATTATAGGTTAAATTTCTATCAATTTTTGGGGGCGTTTGAGTGATTTCTATGACTTGAAAATTTATCACTTTGTCTCTCGACGGTGAATTTTTTCTATATAATGAGATAAAAACTATCTTGTAGAAAATTTAAAGGGCTTTCAGATAAGCCTAAAATAAAATTTTTATTTCACCTGTAAGGGGTCGAAAATATTTTTTAAAAACGTCTACCCCGGTTTTCCGTTGATTTTCGGATTTCGAGATCTCGATGATGGGAATACATAAGAACTTCATTTCTTTTGTATTTCTTATCTATATTGGTAGATATGTTCAGAAAAATTTTTGTAGAGATATTCCATGCGTTAAAAAAATTTTTTTAAAGGGGGGTTATAATTTATTAACACTGATTTTTTGGAAAAACGTCCAAAAAAAAGTCTGAGATCAGAAATTTTTAAAGATATTTTGTAAATATTATTTAATATACATTACAACACTACTACAGAAATTTCAGAACAATCCGACATCGGGAAGGTAAGAAACTCAAAAAATTCAAGGGGGGTTATAATTTCTTAACACACTATTTAAAGAGATCGTCAGACTTTCTAAAAATTTTTTTGAAAGTATTGAAGTGTGTGTGAATTTTGTTGTGATCATAGAGTGTTGTTGTTGTTTTTTTTTTACATTAATAGTGACCTTTAAAATTAATAATTTTTTCTGAGATATTCCGATTTGTTATTCTGATTTTTTTAAATTCTTTCTTAGTTCTGTTTTTGTATTCTGGTTTTATTTTGATTGATTATTCTGATTTTTTAAACATTCTGATATGATATTCTGATTTTATTCTGATTTAATTCTGATTTTTATTCTGGTTTTTATTCTGATTTTTTATTCTGATTTTTATTCTGGTTTTTATTCTGATTTATGTTCTGATTTTTATTCTGATATGATATTCTGGTTTTTATTCTGATTTTTATTCTGGTTTTTATTCTGATTTTTTATTCTGGTTTTTATTCTGGTTTTTGTTCTGGGTTTTATTCTGGTTTTTATTCTGATTTTCTGATTTTTAAGTCGATTTGTTCTGGTTTTCTGATTTTTATTCTCAATCCATTCCCTACCTTTTTTGCATTCCAACAAAATCATCTCCCTCTAAAATATCTAAAGCTCTTTTTCTCAACAAATTACTTCTCTTCTTCAATCCAATAAAATCATCCCCTTCCATCATATCCAAAGCTCTTCTTTTTCTATCAAAACCTCCTCCAAACCCATCTCCCTCCATTAAATCTAAAGCTCTTTTCCTTTGCATTCCAATAAAATCATCTCCTTCTAACATATCTAAAGCTCTTTTAATTAATGTATTTTTTGGGTGTTGATGAAAGGAATTGTAGAGGAGAGTTGATAGTTCTGAAAAATTAAATTGATAAAAAAATTCTGATTTTGATTTTCTGATTTTTCTCTGATCTGAATTATTCTGGTTTTTACGATATTCTGATTTTTGTTGAATATTCTGGTTTTTTCTGACTTTCTGATATGATATTCTGATTTTTTTCACGATTATTTTGATTGTTATTCTGATCTACCTTTTTCTGTTCCAACAATTATAGGTGTAATTCTTGTTCTAAAATTATTGTGTTGGGCACTGTTAATGTTATTGTTGCTGCTACAATTTACTAGCCGGCAAATACAGCATAGTGCAAATAAAATCTTTAAAGGGAAATAAATTTTGGAATTTTTTCTGAGATATTTTGATTTTGTGGTTTTTCTGATTTTTTCTGATTTTTATTTTGATATTCTGATTTTCTCTGATGTTCTGATTTTTTAAATTTAAATTTACCATTATTTTTGAAAACATTCTAAAAATTCCAAAATTTTCTGTTAAATAAGTCATTGGTATTGTAGTTAATGA